GAAGGATTCACCATGGAGTTCCCTGGGGATGTCAAACAGTTTGGCTCCAAGTTCACAGAAAGTCTGAAAGTAGAAGACAGGGCATGAGAGCTGCTCCTCTAAACCAAGGTGGCTTAGAGAGACACGGACAGGAGTCAAGAAGCAAACTCAGCAGCCGTCGCTCCACCAGACTTCACTCCGCGGAGACAGAGCTGCTCCTTCTTAGCCCTTGAGTCACTTCAGAATCAGGAAGCCACATGGGCCGCACGGATGCTCCTGGCAGTCATCACCTAGGAGAGCTCCCTGTCAGATAAATGAGACCATGTCAAGTGTGAGCATTACCTCATTTATTGGCCTCACTCACTGGCTGCTTCCCCAGCTCCAGGCTCTGGTCATTCTCCAGGCTGATTCTTGGGGACCGTTATCACCCCCACAATCCTGAGAGCCAAGGAGCCACACTGGTCCTGTTAAGGATGGAGAGGTTCCTGGCCGGTTACCAGCACATTGGTTACCAGCAGGCTCCTGAGGGCAGACAGCATTGTCAAGAGCTTAGAACCATCAACTTCCAGTTTTTCCTTTGATTATTATATGAGGCAGGTGTAATTATTGCCTAATGGTCTTTGCCTCGAATGATATGGTGTGAATCCACTGACTTTTCTTGAGGGCTGGGGCAGAGCACCTTGCTCTCTAGGCTATTCTTGGTTTACTCTCAGCCCCTTTACTACTAAAAATGTCTTAATATGCTCATCTGAGGGTCCAGTGGAGTCACTGCATGATAAACTCTGAATTACACTGATTTCAGTCTCTGTTATTGCACACACACATTCTGGAGGCCTCCTCTGCACATAGCAACTGCTAAGGTTGTTTATGTCTTATCAGAGCATTTTGGACCCATGCAAATGAGTTTCATCCCCTTCTTGTGCTTGTCCTTGACCCAGTGAAAACCCTTCGACTCAGCAGGGATGTCCCTCTGAAGGGGCCAGGCTTAAATGTTCTGGTAGCTTCTTTTGTTACCACCTGCCCACATCTCTGAATGCAGGGTTGAGAGAACAGAAAGATCAAGGCTGCTGAGTCAGCCACTGCCCTTCCTTGCATGTGTGCTGATGGGTGAATGGACAGTTAGAACAATATACTGAAGTGAAATGCACCCTGAATACACAGCTGCAAAGAAAGTAACTTCTAATTCTGAAAGTCACCATAAGCCAATAGGAGGCTTATTCTGTGCAGAGGAGCAGCAGCTCTTAGAAAATGACATTTTGTTTCTTGAAACTGAAGTTGGTTATAAAATGTGGACAGAATTAGTAGCCGTGCATCTCAATCCCCTGATGTTCGCTGCATGTGCTGATCTAGTACAAATGTGTTTGCAGGGGTAGTGACTTCTGCTTTTAATGAAGTTGTTCTGTGGGCCAAAGAAATGAGTGCATTCGAGAGGCCCTCTGCAGTCCTTCATTCCTATATGCATTGATCTGGACAAAGGAAGTTTGGGGGACAGCACATCACACACAGGATGGGGCCATGTGCCCTTGCACGTTAGTCCTTCAGGTTGCAATCATATTTTCAAACGTAGGGGACCACAGCCTTCTTCATGGAAGGCTGAAAATCATTCCATGCATCTTGAAATTATTGGGGGAATGCACCAAGGATATTGAGCAGGAAAAGGTTTCCAGCATTTCCCCATGAAACCATACCAACCTACCTCTTAGACTGAGAGGCAGAAAAGTGCTCTCGGGGGAATTCAGGGGCTGGAACAGAGAGTCTTCAGAAATCACCAAGCCAAACCTCTCATTTGCAGTCATGGAGGTAGAGGCAGAGAGGTGAAATAATTCACCAACGTTACCCAGTTTGACAGTAGTGACACTTGGACTAGAGGCCGAGTTTTCTAATTCTCAGTTCAAGGTAGTTTGTGCTACTGCTTTTCATGTCTCTGCCTCTTTCCTAACTAACCCTTTAAAATAGGAAGGAGACAGAATCTATAGGAGCATTTCTCAAAATAAAGTTCACAGCTACTAACATCTGAATTACCTGGGATGCCTATAAAATATAGATTCTTGGAATTCATCCTTCTTTAGAACTACTAACAAAGATTGAGGCCTGGGTATCTACATTTCTCACAAGCTCCTCAGTGATTCTTATGCATATTAGGTTTGAGAAACGTTGTCCAGGCTCTATGGGTAGGCAGTGGCATATGGCAGGAGATGACCACTAACTTTGAGCATCGCTGAATTTATCTCGAGAATACAATCATTTCACCATCCATGCTGCTCTTAGCTCAGTCGTGTAGTGAGTTGAAATGAGTTAATGATGGCTCAGAGAGTAATTAACTGGCTTTCCTGTGTTCCTAATACCTGCTTGGGGCATAACTAACTATTAATATTAGCTCTTGAACCTCATTTATTGGCCTCACTCACTGGCTGCTTCCCCAGCTCCAGGCTCTGGTCATTCTCCAGGCTGATTCTTGGGGACCGTTATCACCCCCACAATCCTGAGAGCCAAGGAGCCACACTGGTCCTGTTAAGGATGGAGAGGTTCCTGGCCGGTTACCAGCACATTGGTTACCAGCAGGCTCCTGAGGGCAGACAGCATTGTCAAGAGCTTAGAACCATCAACTTCCAGTTTTTCCTTTGATTATTATATGAGGCAGGTGTAATTATTGCCTAATGGTCTTTGCCTCGAATGATATGGTGTGAATCCACTGACTTTTCTTGAGGGCTGGGGCAGAGCACCTTGCTCTCTAGGCTATTCTTGGTTTACTCTCAGCCCCTTTACTACTAAAAATGTCTTAATATGCTCATCTGAGGGTCCAGTGGAGTCACTGCATGATAAACTCTGAATTACACTGATTTCAGTCTCTGTTATTGCACACACACATTCTGGAGGCCTCCTCTGCACATAGCAACTGCTAAGGTTGTTTATGTCTTATCAGAGCATTTTGGACCCATGCAAATGAGTTTCATCCCCTTCTTGTGCTTGTCCTTGACCCAGTGAAAACCCTTCGACTCAGCAGGGATGTCCCTCTGAAGGGGCCAGGCTTAAATGTTCTGGTAGCTTCTTTTGTTACCACCTGCCCACATCTCTGAATGCAGGGTTGAGAGAACAGAAAGATCAAGGCTGCTGAGTCAGCCACTGCCCTTCCTTGCATGTGTGCTGATGGGTGAATGGACAGTTAGAACAATATACTGAAGTGAAATGCACCCTGAATACACAGCTGCAAAGAAAGTAACTTCTAATTCTGAAAGTCACCATAAGCCAATAGGAGGCTTATTCTGTGCAGAGGAGCAGCAGCTCTTAGAAAATGACATTTTGTTTCTTGAAACTGAAGTTGGTTATAAAATGTGGACAGAATTAGTAGCCGTGCATCTCAATCCCCTGATGTTCGCTGCATGTGCTGATCTAGTACAAATGTGTTTGCAGGGGTAGTGACTTCTGCTTTTAATGAAGTTGTTCTGTGGGCCAAAGAAATGAGTGCATTCGAGAGGCCCTCTGCAGTCCTTCATTCCTATATGCATTGATCTGGACAAAGGAAGTTTGGGGGACAGCACATCACACACAGGATGGGGCCATGTGCCCTTGCACGTTAGTCCTTCAGGTTGCAATCATATTTTCAAACGTAGGGGACCACAGCCTTCTTCATGGAAGGCTGAAAATCATTCCATGCATCTTGAAATTATTGGGGGAATGCACCAAGGATATTGAGCAGGAAAAGGTTTCCAGCATTTCCCCATGAAACCATACCAACCTACCTCTTAGACTGAGAGGCAGAAAAGTGCTCTCGGGGGAATTCAGGGGCTGGAACAGAGAGTCTTCAGAAATCACCAAGCCAAACCTCTCATTTGCAGTCATGGAGGTAGAGGCAGAGAGGTGAAATAATTCACCAACGTTACCCAGTTTGACAGTAGTGACACTTGGACTAGAGGCCGAGTTTTCTAATTCTCAGTTCAAGGTAGTTTGTGCTACTGCTTTTCATGTCTCTGCCTCTTTCCTAACTAACCCTTTAAAATAGGAAGGAGACAGAATCTATAGGAGCATTTCTCAAAATAAAGTTCACAGCTACTAACATCTGAATTACCTGGGATGCCTATAAAATATAGATTCTTGGAATTCATCCTTCTTTAGAACTACTAACAAAGATTGAGGCCTGGGTATCTACATTTCTCACAAGCTCCTCAGTGATTCTTATGCATATTAGGTTTGAGAAACGTTGTCCAGGCTCTATGGGTAGGCAGTGGCATATGGCAGGAGATGATCACTAACTTTGAGCATCGCTGAATTTATCTCGAGAATACAATCATTTCACCATCCATGCTGCTCTTAGCTCAGTCGTGTAGTGAGTTGAAATGAGTTAATGATGGCTCAGAGAGTAATTAACTGGCTTTCCTGTGTTCCTAATACCTGCTTGGGGCATAACTAACTATTAATATTAGCTCTTGCTTTCCCACCCGGCATTATTTATCTGCTGTATATTCCTCTGTTGTACTTAGTGGAAGGTAAATGAATGCTTTGCAAGTATCCTCAAACATGCAGGCCCTCTCCATGCTCTGCTGACACACAGTACCTGGCCCCAAATGTCTCGCAACGAGGCCGCAAATAGTTCAGTCAGAATCCCAATTACCTCTCCACGCAGGTAATTATTACTTCTGCCATTTAAGTGAAATTTCAGTACATTGCTTATAGCAATAAATTAGGACCACATTTATGCCTTCCCTGTTTCTATTCATGGCACAGATTTAAATTTCCATTCCTATTGGGATATAGCTCTGAACTGTCCTTCAGTATGAATTTGGCTGATAATAATGTAATACCACAGTCTCATTTTTCCCATCCGCACCCAACAGACCTAAACAAAAACAAAACCCCTAACTCTGAGTTTACCACGCATAAGGGAGAGCTCCCAGTGTCATGGTGGACCTGTGACTGAGCCGTTCTGTGAAACAACCGTGTTATGTCATAGAAATGTGACATTGTGGCACTTTGGAAGTCTCATTGTGGAGTTTAACAGGTTTTGGGGCATGTTTTGTTTGCAGCATGCGCTTTCTGACAAGGCGTGTGTGAAAGCCTTTGACCCAAAGACAACTTGCTTACAGGAATGCCTCATTACGACCTTCCAGGAAGCCTACTTTGTTTCAGAAAGTTTTGAAGAAGCCAAAGAAAAGATGAGGTAAACTTGTTTTTCTTCCACCTGGAGAAAATAGCTTCTTATTTTTCTGGCCCTAATTCTTCCTTCTCTCTACCTCTTTTGCTAATGAGGGTTGATACTGTATCCTTCTATTCCTGTTTATTTTGCAGGGACTTTGCTAAGTCAATTACTCGTCCCTTCTCCGTGTACTTCAATCCCTATACACAGAGCATTGACATTCTGAAAGACACGAGAACTATTGAAAATGTGGTGCAGGACCTCCGCAGTGATTTGAACACGGTGTGTGACGCCCTGAACAAAATGAACCGCTATCTGGGGATTTGATGTGTGGGACCAGTGTCGTTGCCAGCACAATCTTTTTGGGGCTTAGCAGCAATTCAGCCAACATCATGTAATACCAATAACTTTCTGTGTCATGGCTTGACTAGTGAGCATGCAATTCTGTATATCTCTAGACCTACTTGTAACCTACTGTGTTAATGTGTGAGAACACCATAAAGAACCCAGTGACAGATAACCCTCATTGTATGAAAGGCTGTAACATGTTTAATGTGTTAAATAGATTTGACTTTCCTGCTTTGTGTCCTTAACCTAATTGCTGCTATTTAAAATTTGTAACAAATGGTCTTCTTATGATTCTAGCGTATGTATGACCTTTCCTTTCTCAGATCTGAACCTTTCCCTCTATGTTCATTAGATAAAATGAAAAATAGCAGTGAAACTTTCTATTTTCTGTAGTATCAGTGTTTTCCCAGCATTATTTGAGATAAACCCAGAATTTTGTGAAACTTGCTATCACATTAACAAAAGACTCAGTATTCTGTTTCGGCTGAAACTAGTGAACATGCTAGTTGGGATGGTTTGTGGGTTGAGTATTTATACAAGATAAGAAAAAAGAACTTTTTATAGATGGAATATATAGGTTGCATTGACCTTCTAACAACTGAGTTGTGGCATGCTTCCCAAACATTTTGGAAGAACTTCCAGAGAGGCCATTAGGAAAGGCTAAACAGAGGGAATAAATCTTGGGACTATGAATTTTATGCTGGAATAAGGTGAATTATCCTGCTCTGGTGTGTAACCCATTTCTCTGAGAGAACAATAATATAGTGCTTTGATTTCAAAAATGTGACAGCCAAATCTCAGAGAGGTTACATGATTTGCCCAAAGTAGCAACATGGTTAGTTTTACACCAACATTTATGGCCCATTGCATCTTGCTTTTGGATTGCTAAGAAATCCAACTTGGCCTATGCACGTATTTATGAGTAGTTAGGGAAGGGAAACCAGTGCGTTATCACTAAATGGGACTTGGTTTATGATCAAAGGTTGCCAAAATTATAGCTATTGCCTGTCACGGCTCAAAACCAAGCCATATCTCTGGGAGTCTGCTCCTGTGCCCGAAGTTGGGATAAATCTGGGCAGAAAACAGTAACACCACAAATCTTTAGTCGTCTTTTGCCAAGAATGTTCTTTTAATACGTATAACTGCAAATGAATTCATATTCTTAAACACGGCCCATTGTGAGTCAGAAATCTGTGGACTAAGTATATTCAGGAAGAATGTGAGAAAGAGTTAAAATATGCAGAGAGGTAAAATTAAAATGAAAAAGCAGAGGTTTGAATATTGGCCATCTTAACTCTTTAAGATCTCCAATTTCTGAAGGATTCTCAGAACAACTGAGTTTTTGAAAAGGGTTTTGGCAGATAGGATGTGAGAACAATGCAGTTTAAGTGCAATTTTAGGTGAAAGAGACAGTGCCTTGAAAAACTGGTGGTAGAAAAATGATGAGCAAACTGGACTAAACTTAAAGGAGTTGTATATTTCAATAGTTTTATAGATGCATAAACACATAGTTTCGTAACTTTTGCTAGATCTAGATGAGCCTGAGTAATTATTTACTTCTAAATACTAAGCTACAATTATAACTCAGAACAGTAAGTCCAGAAATTTCTAGAACTAGTTGCTGAGTTTTCTCAAAGGAGAAAATTGGCTAAGAAACTCTTCATGTCTGCCTTCTGTGTTGTTTCCATAATTTGATGTTGCTTTAGACACCGTTAAAAAAAACCCTCAAGTAGCCATCAAGCATTTCTTTTCTGTTCCTGAGATAGGGGAGCTTCTTAGTTGAATGCACTGAAGGAATAATTATATTAAATTCTAAACAAATTCCCTGGACAAAAATAACATTTGAGCTATCTCCTGATTGGCTTATGGTGGCATCTTCAATTCTCCTGCATGTTCAAAATCTATGTTGTTTCTAAAATAGAAGAGTTGCAAAGTAAATAGGCTTTCCCACAGAGCTTATAGGGGTATTATACGAGGAGGAGGAATTACTTGATTCTTTTTAGATTTGTTCTCCATTCAGAATAGCAGTAACCATGGATTTCGCTGTGTGAAACAATGGAATCATGGTTTTCATTTGTTCTGAGCATTTAACATGCAAATGCCATTACAACTAATGATGGGAAAAAAAATCCCATAAAATTTAATAGCTATCATAGGAAAAGTGTTGGTAGAAAAAGTCCCCAATGGAAATAGTACAACAAAAATAATCATAGCCAGCTTCTTGTCATATCTGATACCTGCTTAGTGTAACCATTTGTCTCAATTACGCTTCATGACTTCAAGTGAAATTAAATGGATCCAAGGGCAATTATAAATTTAAAGACACTTGCTCACTGTCATCTCACTATGAATCACTACTTTATTTTGGCTTTGCTGCTGACTTCTGTAATCAGCTAATCAGAAATCAACCCAAGATTCCTAGCAAGACCAGGTTTCATACACAATATACTTTGCAGAAAAGCCAGAACTTTCTTAGTTCAGTTTTCTTGAACCTTTTTTGACTGTTAGATGAGTTAGGGTCAGGCATCCAGTATATTGGTGGATGATCCTTTACTCAGCATCATAAGAGCATAATAGATTGTTCATAAGGTACATCTTTTAAGAGTAGGGAAATCTGACCCAAGGTGGTTTGCAATTTTTTTTTTCACATTAGTGGTAAGGGTTGCGAAACTTGAGTTTCTGGCTTAGTCTCATTTATTTACTGTGTAATTTAGAAATGATGCTTTATGGGGATGATATATCTGTACTTGTCTCGCTTGCACATAGTAAATGGGCCTGAGCCTAATGAATGTAAAGTATTGCAACATTTACCAACATGAAAAGTCTAAAATGAAAAACAGTGTGCTTTAACGTGGAAGCAAATAGAAATACAAAGTTTCATTTTCAAATGGAGTCATGGCTCACATCATCTCATTTTCTTCATTCGAGGAGGAAAACATTAACACAAGATGTAGTTGTCCTCCAATTCATTTGATCTAATTTTCAACTTCTAAAGAATCAAGCGCTGATGCTTACTCTCATGAACCTTGTCTTACTTATAATGAAAAAGAAAGCAGCCCAGAGTTTTCCAGTATGTCAGTTTTTTTCTTGTTCTTCAATTTCCAAAGACATTCTCTTATTTTGGGAAGTGATTCTTTTGCAGACTATTGTGTGCTGGGAGGAGGCAAGGGAATTAATAGATACTGCTTTTTCTAATATTAGATTTGCATGTGTTCACAATAAACCGGGTCTGGATCATGAAATGGTGATTCTTTTTAATGTGACTTGGGGTCTCAGAACATTCATTCCATGGCTTCGACCACATCAGGGACCGTATCACGCGCTGAGGAGTTAGTGATGAGTAAAGCAGCGGAAGTGTATGCCCACTTCGAACTTAGTGGGCAGTGGAGAGATACCAGCAATAAACAAGATTATACTAAATTTTATGAAGAAATAATCTGGGTGATGTGATAAAGAACAACGGGGGCAGGTGGATGTAGTAAAGTGGCGAGGGAAAACCTTTCTGAGCAGATAGCGTTTGATGGAGAACCATGGGATGAGAAGCCAGATATGGGGAGTTGTGGAGAGAGTTTTTCTGCAGGAAGGGACTGCAAGATCAAAGGCTCCGAGGCAGAAATGGATGTGTTCAAGGACGAGATAGATTGCTAGTGGGCTGGAGAGGAAAGAAAAGAGGGCAGCAAGGGAGGCAAGAATGAAGAAATACAGGTCCTTGTATGAGGCAGGTGTACTCTGAATGCAGGGGAGAGTCAGTGAAGGGCTGTAAGCAACACAGTGACAAGATCTGATTGACATTTTTAAGAGGCTACTCAGGCTGCTGTGTGGGAATCAATTGTGGAGGGGTAGAAAGGTGGGGGAAAACCAGTTAAGAGGCCATTGCAATACTGGGGATGCAAAGTCAGTATGTTGCTGGATCAAGGTGGACATTACTAAAAATGGTTGTAACTGAGTAAGTTATAAAGTTGAGTGGGTGAAAAAGTTGTCAGGTGAAATACTGGGGCAAACTGGAATAGCTGGTGCCTGGGCTGATTATAATTTGCTTGGAGAAACAGACATCTAATGACACCCTGCATCTTTTGCAAATACTTCAGCTTCCTTTGACAAAGCACCATGTTAAACTTTCCTTGACCAGCTTTTTTTTCTAATTGAAATACAGTTGATATGCAATATTCTGTTGCTTTCTGGTGTACAACATAGTGATTTGACAATTGTATACATGACTAAATGCTTACCACAATAAGTGTAGTTACCATCTGTCATTAGACAGGAATGTTGTAATATTATTGACTACATTCCCTATGCTGTTTCCCATGCCAGTTTTTAAGGATTAAAAAAAAACAGACTGGAAAGCAAGTGCAATTTTTTTTCTTGTGACTCACAGTTATTAACTGCATAAACAAAAATGAGGCAGAGAATGGGGCGTTATTGGTGAATACTGGTGGTGCTGACATTTAGGGTAATTCAGGATAAAAAGCTCCCTTACCTCCAGGCAAACTGAATAGTTGTGCTCACTGTCCCCTCTGGGTACTTCTATAGGAATAGGCCATATAAATGTGATTTAGTTAAGTCTGTTTCCACTCTTCTCCATGCCTTCCATCTTCTCAGATGTGTTTTCAGATACCCCAGAAAGGTTTGCTTGCTCTGATTTCTTCCTCTCTCCAAAGATGGGTCTGGCGCAGCAGCTGGAAGGATATTTCCTTCTTTGGGAAGATCATAGTGAGCTTGATGTTCAACCTAAGGGCATCTGTGGTTATGGTGCCTGCAGAACAGCATTCTCATAATCCAGCCTGGTACACTTTTTATAATTGAAACAACAAAAACATCTGACAGATGTGGGCAGGGTAATTTGAAAGCTAGTGGCATAAAGAAATCAAGTTCATTTGCTGTCAAAATCAAATCTTTAAAGAAGATGCAAAGCTAGCTCTCATTTCATAGGTTGAGAAGGATAATATTAATTATAGGAAAGTTAGGAGTTTCCTGGTACCTCCTTCACTCTTTCTAGATCCCTTGCAGTTGCCTTACTTTTTAGCTTGTT